CCTTGAACTCACAGAGATCTGCCTGCCTCTGCCTCCCGAATGCTGGGATTAAAGGTGTGCACCACCACACCTGGCCAAAAAATATTTTATTATTTTTATTTTGTGTGTATGAGTATATTGCTTGCACCTATGTAGGTAGGTGCACTCATGTCATACAATGCCCGAGATGGTCAGAGGAGGGCATTGGATCCCCTGGAACTGGAGTTATGAAAGGTTGATAGCCATCATATGGGTGCTGGCAACTAAACCCGGGTCTTCTGCAAGAGCAGCCAGTACTCTTAACCACTGAGCCACCTCTCCAGCCCTGTTATTTTTGTTTTATGTGTGTGAGTGTTCTGACTGCGTGTATCTCAGTGTGCCACATAAGTGCAATGTCTGAGGAGACCAGAAGAGGGCATCAGATCCCCCAGGGGCTAGAGTGTGAGGTGCCAAGTGGGTGGGTGCTGGGAACCATACCCAGGTCTTCTGAGATGCTCTCTACCACTGAGCCAACTTTCCAGCCCTGCCTTGAACTTCTGAGCCTTCTACTTCCATTCCCCAGTGCTGGGATTACAGGTGCATACTGCCACACCACGTTTACCCAGTGCTGGGAATTGAAGTCAGGGTTTTGTCCATGCTATCCAAGCACTCTACCAACCTAGCCACACCCCAGCTCCCTCCTAGCTGTTGTGATCCAGCCCTTCCAAGCTTAAACAGAATCCTAACTTCTTGGGGTTTTTTTTTTTGTTTGTTTGTTTGTTTGTTTATGTGTCTGAGTGTTTTGCCTGTATGTATGTAAGTGCACCCAACCATACCTGCAATGCCTGCAGAGATCAGCCCTGGAACTGGAGTTACAGATGGTTTTGAGCTGTCATGTGGGTTCTGGGAACTGAACCTAGGTCCTCTGCAAGAGCAGTCAGTTGTCTTTGCTGCTGAGCCATTCTCCAATCCCAGAATCATAGCTTCCAACACCACACTGCAGGCTTCCCTGTTCCTGTCCTTGTGTGCTCTGGTCCTGCTCAACATCAGAACAGCCATTCACAGCCTTTCTCAGGCTCTGGTTTGTCTCAAATACAGGGAATAATTCATAGCCCGAGACCCTATTTAGCTTCTCCACATACATGTCGCATGCACACACACCCCTCTTCTGATAACCTCACACCCCTCAGCCCCCCACCTGCCTTGGGCTAAAAAATACCCCTCCTGAACAATAGTCAGGTTTGTTTGCACCTAACAACAATTAGATCAGTTTCTATTCCAGTGATTCCCAGTGTTCTTAGTAGGAAGAATGGAATAATTCTTTGGCCTTAACTGGTTTTGGGTACATGCTCAGTAAGGCAGAACTGTGTCCTCAATTGAACTTTTAGGGAAAATGGCCTGTTTACCATCTTATGCTTATTCATGATTGGGCTTGCGTATAATTAAAATCAGATGCATTATGGGAAGGGACAGGTGCAGTAGGAAAATTATTATAGTGAGAGAGATGTCTCAGAGGTGAAGAGCACTTCCTGTTCTTCCAGAAGACCCGAGTTCAGTTCCCAGCACCCTTGTCAGGGGGCTCACAACTACCTGTAACTCCAGCTCCAGGGATCTGATGACTTCTTCTGGCCTTCATGGGCACACATGCACACACACGCACATACACTTAATAATAATAATAAAAAAAATCTTGGGGCTGGAGAGATGGCTCAGCAGTTAAGAATACTGGTTGTTCTTGCAGAAGACCCGGGTTCGAATCCCAGCACCCACATGGCAGCTAACAACTGTCCGTAACTCCAGTTCCAGGGAATCCAACAGTTTCTTCTGTCTGCCGCAGGCATTGCATGGCATGGGTGCACTTACAGGCAGACATAACACTCATATACATAAAATAAAAATAATAAATAAAATATTTTTTTAAAAATCCTAAGAACAAAATAAAATGAAACAAAAGGGCTTGGGCTGCAGTTGTTACTAGAGTATTTGCCTAACATCATGAATCC